ATAACTCGCCAACCCGGGACAACTTTCCTCCCTCATGTGTGACCAGTAATCTTGACAATTTGAATGGAATTATCGAATTTCTGAGCTAAATTATAAACATCTGAACAATGTAAGGTATTTTCTGTATGTGATGATAATATTTTCCTTTTTTTTTCGTGAATTTGACGTGTTTTCCATAGAGAACTTCAAGTTTTATTTCAAATTCAATAAAATGCAACCTTGGACGTCACAAAGAATGTCATGCATGACGAAAGACGTCAGTAAAGCTTGTTAAGTTGACCCGGGTGATAGGGTAACCTTACCTGTAAAATTTGCTTATAAACCCGGGCTAACTTCAGCTCTCTCTCCTTGTAAACAGGCCCTTAGCCTCCGAAGCCGACGTTCTTTTGGCTCGTCACGCAATCCTCGCTGGCCCCCTCTTAATTTTTTTCGTTATCTCACACTTATTAAATTGTAATCACGGGTTGTAACCTTAGTGCAATTGCATCATGCATCACCGTTATATTGTTATTTCAAATCACATTAACATGTCTTGCTTTAATTCAAAGTTATGATTTATATTTTACCGACTCGTCCATTTCTAATTAGACTTGCAAGTCGAGCTTTTGAGCGCGTAGCGCGACAGTGAGCGCGAAGTGCGAGCGAGCTAGTGAAAGTTCCGGGTCCTACCGCACCAGACCAGAAAACCATGCGAGCGACTTTGAGAAAGTCTAATTTCTAATACGCTCAAGTATCAAGACTTAAATTTCATAACTTCCGCTGACCAAATTTCCAATAATAAAAAAAATTTGGACGGTTGACATCACTAAGACATTTGCGCGATGTCTCACCTGTTTTGGCAGCGGAGTGCCGTCTTTACAGGGCAAATTAACCAAACAAGTTTCAACAGGGCCTCTAATTATTTGTCTGCCTCATATATCTTTCTGCTTGGTTGCAGATCTCCGACCTTGCCCTCAAAAAGGAGTACCAGGACAAAGAAGACAAGTGGCTAAGCGAAGCGTTTGTGGAGAGTGAGGAGGTGAGATGATAGATTGATTTTCCTCGGCAGGATCTCTCGAAGGGTTAGAACACGAATTCGCGTCAAACGTAGATATGACTCTCCTCCACAGAGCCTCAAAGTCGCATAGCGAGAGTAAGTGCGGGCGCAAAAGTTTTTTTTGTTTAGAGGCGGGGGAGCCTGTTTCAGCCCTGATTAATCTTTTGGTTTTCGCGCCTGCACTCACTTTGCGCAGCGGAAATTCAATAACGCCTCATTAAACGTCTTCGGAGGGAGGGAGATATATGTAAGCAAGTGAAAGCTGTATCTTTTTTTTTTTTGAAGAGCGTATGCTTGGCCAACTCACTTTTTTGACTGGAGAAAATAAAAACTGTGATTGGACCAAGGACACATTATTCCTCTTAAATGAAAATTGTGAGTTTTAGATGCGAGGTTTGAGGGTAGTCTTGTTACTGTCATATTCAGTGCAGAAATATGCAGTAACTTGTCAGTATTACATTTCACACGTTCATATTTGCTCTGACTGCTCAAGGTAGATCTTAATTCTGTCGCAAAGTGATAGTCCTTGCTATTAATTTTGTCCAATCATGTCCGATGTATGACTGTTGTAGAAAGAAAGAGAGTATTATACATGTTGAACAAGCTGTTAACTCTACACATTGTGCGAGTGCGTTTTGGTTTTTTTTTTTCTCATTTCCAGTCCCTCTAGTAAATTTCCACTGTCGCGTTATTTTTACGCCTGTACTCCACCCCTAAGACTTTATTTGGAAATGTACGTTTTCATCAAAGACTGTTATAAAAATTGCGTTACTGTTAGGGACCAAACGGTTTCCTTCCTAATGGATGATTAGACTTTTACGGTTTTCTTTTTTGACTGGTACTCTTGATTTATTTGTTTATTTGTTTTGTTATTTCTCTCAATGACCTCCTCTATTTTGGTCTGCAAAGAGAGCTCGAGTACTTTTTCTTGCTGTGTGAAACTAAACATTCCTTCGTTTCAGATTGAATACGATGCGCATTATACTCAGCTTAATTTCCTGAAGACTCTGAGCAACTACGCGAACCAGAACGTCACATACGCTTGCCGCAAATCCAAGGCTTGGGAAGACGGCCAACACTCCATCAAACTAATGGGCTCCAACGAAATGCAGTATCATGCTACTTCCAAGATTTCCCTTAGGCCTAACGTCATCACCAATGAATGCACAGTAAGTTGACAATTTGCCCGTTCCTTTGTTAGGAATAAACCTCCTTTCACAATCCACAGTCTTGAACAACACTGTTACGGATATAACCTGGGGATACACTTCTACGCCCCGACAGACCAGTAACACTAATGAGCCCCCACCCCCTACCCCTGAGTAATATGATTCGCTTCTCTTCAGGGTCCCTCAGGCAACGGCATTTTTGTGAGCGAACACTGAATTAGGTTGGGCGGGGGACAAGGGAGTGGGGTACCTCCATATGATTTTTTTGCTAAACACGCGAGAGGAAGCATTTTGAATTCAAAACTAGCCTGCGAGCAGGCTCTCCTATTTGGGCGAGCAAAGCAAGCCGCAAGGGCCCCCCGCTTTCGCACTTCCTCTCGCCTGCATCTCGCGCGTTTACTTTTCACGATATCCCCCAAATGGAGAGCTTGCTCGCAGGCTAATTCAAAACAAGGTATTTTCCCATTTTTCACACTTTACTGCAATGCTTTAGTTTAAGCCGCAATTGTACCAAATTGGGAAATACAGATTTTCTGTCCAAGTTTGCGGAAAGAATAGAAGACAGCACCCTCTGATTTTACTAATAAATGGTCGGTCAAAACCTCTATTATTTCACGTATATCGTTGAAACGAGCAAAATCTGTCATTCCTGAAATTAACGCCTTATATCGTTTTAAAAAAGCGCTCTATTAGAATTCCGCTCAATACATGACACATTTCAGTCTACCAAGTTTAGCCCTCTGCAGTGCCTGCTCATTCATCAGTGACTAGAGGCCAATAATATCTTGTTATTTTGGGGTCATAGTGGTTCCGTTATATTGTGCTAGTGCGTTATTTTATACCCGCGGTTGTCGTCTTATTTTGACGCTTAATCATTACAGGACAGCAAAAACACCAACAAATGGGGTAAAACAGTTTTAGAGATCGACACAAGAGAGAAGAGTAGGCTACCAATCGTGGACGTGGCAGCATATGACATCGGTGGAAAAGACCAGGACTTCAAACTTGTAATTGGACCAGCGTGCTTCCATCACGTAAAGGCGTAGGACTTTCAATGCCCTCCAGGGATAGTAGTTGCTGTGACTTGTATATTGTTCGTATTGCTCACAGTGGCATTCAGTTTGAATCGCATATATAGTCACTGATGCTTTAGTTAGTGAAAGTTTCTCAGTAACTGCGTCAAGTCCTCCCTAGAAATATTAGCAAATTTCCCTTCTCCGCGAGATTAAGAATAAAAGTTTGTCCATTTTCAGCTGTTGCTTACCATTTTTTATTTTCTTTTATGGTGCCTTTATGAGCGTTTTCTATATATTTGTATGCGTATCTTTATAAATAAATAACGCTTTTCACAAGTAACGAGTGGGTGACAAGTATGTTACATTAATAACTGATTTTGTTTGGAAACAAACTTTTATTTTGATCTAATATTATATAGGTTAGAGAACCGATATGGATTCCGATTGAATCGAACCTTTTAGACTTATTAAAAAATGATAACTTAAAATTTGTAGCAATACAATAAAGCAAATCAGTGTACTCAACTACCTAACAGTTATTACTTCCTCTTTGTCAAACCCCAGCTTTAACACGCGCGTATCTTCCTCACCTTGACCCCTTGTTCATCTCCTTCTTTATTACTTTTAGCTGAAATAAGCTTTGGCGCTTCTACGCATTCCCCATTTTTTCCCTTCTTTGCTATTTATCTTTTTCGTCACTCTAAACACGGCCTCTTTTTTGATTGCTTCTCTTTTTTCTTAGTTCGTCGCATCTATCCTTTCCAAGCCAACCCACGGTCACCTGTGTTTGCTGTCTTTTTGTTGTTGTTGTTGTTGTTTTGCGAGTACAAAAGTTCTATTACTCTCCCCCCTGATTTCTGTGCTTCGACAGCTTTCGCGCTTGCAATTTTTTTTGTCCACAGTTTCTCTCTCTCCTTTGGTCTCTGGGCCGTCCCCGAGTTGTTCTGGGACGAAAATACCGGGCTTTAAACAAAATAGGTTACCGTTAGGCCTTGCTTTGCAACGGCAATAGAGAAAGGACTGGAGCCTTCCGCTCCTCGTGTCAATCAGAGAACTGATTCTAAATGGCGAGAATCAGATGCCGCTTTTGATTCGCCTATTATCTAGTGTGAACAAGTTGAACGGTTAAGATCTCCGACCTTGCCCTCAAAAAGGAGTACCAGGACAAAGAAGACAAGTGGCTAAGCGAAGCGTTTGTGGAGAGTGAGGAGGTGAGATGATAGATTGATTTTCCTCGGCAGGATCTCTCGAAGGGTTAGGACACGAATTCGCGTCAAATGTAGATATGACTCTCCTCCGCAGAGCCACAAAGTCGCATAGCGAGAGTTAGTGGGAGTGCAAAATTTTTTTTTGTTTAGAGGCGGGGGAGCCTGTTCTCGGCCTGATTAATGTTTTGGTTTTCACGCCTGCACTCACTTTACTTAGCGGAAGCCCAATAACTGTACACATTGTGCGAGCGCGTTTTTTTTCTTATTTCCAGTCCCTTAAGTGGATTTCCCTTGTCGCGTAATTTTTACGTCCATACTCCACCTTAAGACTCTATTTGGAAATGTACGTTTCCATTAAAGACTGCTTTAAAAATTGCGGAACTGGTAGGAACCAAACGGTTTCCTTCCAATGGATGATTAGACTTTTACGGTTTTGTTTTTTGAATGGTACTCTTGAGTTATTTGTTGATTTGTTTTGTTACTTCTCTCAATAACTTCCTGTAGTTTGGTCTGCAAAGAGATCTCCAGTACTTTTTCTTGCTGTGTGATACTAAACGTTTCTTCGTTTCAGATTGAATACGATGCGCATTACACTCAGCTTAATTTCCTGAAGACTCTGAGCAACTATGCGAACCAGAACGTCACATACGCTTGCCGCAAATCCAAGGCTTGGGAAGACGGCCAGCACTCCATCAAACTAATGGGCTCCAACGAAATGCAGTATCATGCTACTTCCAAGATTTCCCTTAGGCCTAACGTCATCACCAATGAATGCACAGTAAGTTGACAATTTGCCCGTTCCTTTGTTAGAAATAAACCTCCTTTCACAATCCACGGTCTTGAACAACACTGTTACGGATATAACCTGGGTATACGCCCCGACAGACCAGTAACACCAATGAGCCCCCACCCCCTACCCCTGAGCAATATGATTCGCTTCTCTTCAGGGCTCCTCAGGCAACGGCATTTTTGTGAGCGAACACTGAATTAGGTTGGGGCGGGGGACAAGGGAGTGGGGTACCTCCATATGATTTTTTAGCTAAACACGCGAGAGGAAGCATTTTGAATTCAAAACTAGCCTGTTCAGGCTTTCCTATTTGGAGCCGCGAGGGCCCCCCGCATTCGCGGCTCCTCTCGCGTGCTTCTCGCGCTTCTACTTTTCACGATATCCCCCAGATGGAGAGCTTGTTCGCAGGCTAATTCAAAACAAGCTATTTTCCCAAGAAGTTTTGTCCAAGATTGCGGTTAAAGAACCACTGAATCAGCCTCGGTATGACACTGTTGCGGGGAAGATTCTTGGGACGCTTAAAAATATAAGTGGATGAGGAAATCCGAACAATTATTCAAGTAGAACCAGCCTTTAAAACTTAACGCCTTGTTGGCTGCACCACAGGAAGTTCATTTTGAAACAGTGCAAAGTAACTTGTTAAAAGATGTTCGTCATAACGGAGTTACGTTAAGGCCGTGGGGGACACCTATCTATAAATAAATTCATAAGGAAAATTTTTGCTTGTGCTACATCTTTTACAACGCTTATACCTTGGCCGGTTTAGAGTCGATTTAGATAAAATTTTACAGAGACATTGTGGAATGATGGACGTTTAGTAGGTTTGTTTTTAATTTGGTAGATCACGCTTTACGGCAATGCTTTAGTTTAAGCCGCAGTTGTACCAAATTGGGAAATCGTGATTTTGTGTCCAAGTTTGCGGAAAGAATAGAAGACGGCACTCTCTGATTCTACCAATAAATGGTCTGTCAAAACCTCTATTGTATCATGTATATCGTTTAAATGAGCAAAATCTGTCATTCCTGAAATTAACGCCTTATATCGTTTTATGAAAGCGCTCTATTAGAATTCCGCTCAATGCATGACACATTTCAGTCTACCAAGTTTACCCCTCTGCATTGCCAGCTCATTCATCAGTGACTAGAGGCCAATAATATCTTGTTATTTTGGGGTCATAGTGGTTCCGTTATATTGTGCTGGTGCGTTATTTTATACCCTCGAGTGTCGTCTTACTCTGACGCTTAATAATTACAGGACACCAAAAACACCAACAAATGGGGTAAAACAGTTTTAGAGATCGACACAAGAGAGAAGAGTAGGCTACCAATCGTGGACGTGGCAGCATATGACATCGGTGGAAAAGACCAGGACTTCAAACTTGTAATTGGACCAGCGTGCTTCCATCACGTAAAGGCGTAGGACTTTCAATGCCCTCCAGGGATAGAAGATCTCCGACCTTGCCCTCAAAAAGGAGTACCAGGACAAAGAAGACAAGTGGCTAAGCGAAGCGTTTGTGGAGAGTGAGGAGGTGAGATGATAGATTGATTTTCCTCGGCAGGATCTCTCGAAGGGTTAGAACACGAATTCGCGTCAAACGTAGATATGACTCTCCTCCACAGAGCCTCAAAGTCGCATAGCGAGAGTAAGTGCGGGCGCAAAAGTTTTTTTTGTTTAGAGGCGGGGGAGCCTGTTTCAGCCCTGATTAATCTTTTGGTTTTCGCGCCTGCACTCACTTTGCGCAGCGGAAATTCAATAACGCCTCATTAAACGTCTTCGGAGGGAGGGAGATATATGTAAGCAAGTGAAAGCTGTATCTTTTTTTTTTTTGAAGAGCGTATGCTTGGCCAACTCACTTTTTTGACTGGAGAAAATAAAAACTGTGATTGGACCAAGGACACATTATTCCTCTTAAATGAAAATTGTGAGTTTTAGATGCGAGGTTTGAGGGTAGTCTTGTTACTGTCATATTCAGTGCAGAAATATGCAGTAACTTGTCAGTATTACATTTCACACGTTCATATTTGCTCTGACTGCTCAAGGTAGATCTTAATTCTGTCGCAAAGTGATAGTCCTTGCTATTAATTTTGTCCAATCATGTCCGATGTATGACTGTTGTAGAAAGAAAGAGAGTATTATACATGTTGAACAAGCTGTTAACTCTACACATTGTGCGAGTGCGTTTTGGTTTTTTTTTTTCTCATTTCCAGTCCCTCTAGTAAATTTCCACTGTCGCGTTATTTTTACGCCTGTACTCCACCCCTAAGACTTTATTTGGAAATGTACGTTTTCATCAAAGACTGTTATAAAAATTGCGTTACTGTTAGGGACCAAACGGTTTCCTTCCTAATGGATGATTAGACTTTTACGGTTTTCTTTTTTGACTGGTACTCTTGATTTATTTGTTTATTTGTTTTGTTATTTCTCTCAATGACCTCCTCTATTTTGGTCTGCAAAGAGAGCTCGAGTACTTTTTCTTGCTGTGTGAAACTAAACATTCCTTCGTTTCAGATTGAATACGATGCGCATTATACTCAGCTTAATTTCCTGAAGACTCTGAGCAACTACGCGAACCAGAACGTCACATACGCTTGCCGCAAATCCAAGGCTTGGGAAGACGGCCAACACTCCATCAAACTAATGGGCTCCAACGAAATGCAGTATCATGCTACTTCCAAGATTTCCCTTAGGCCTAACGTCATCACCAATGAATGCACAGTAAGTTGACAATTTGCCCGTTCCTTTGTTAGGAATAAACCTCCTTTCACAATCCACAGTCTTGAACAACACTGTTACGGATATAACCTGGGGATACACTTCTACGCCCCGACAGACCAGTAACACTAATGAGCCCCCACCCCCTACCCCTGAGTAATATGATTCGCTTCTCTTCAGGGTCCCTCAGGCAACGGCATTTTTGTGAGCGAACACTGAATTAGGTTGGGCGGGGGACAAGGGAGTGGGGTACCTCCATATGATTTTTTTGCTAAACACGCGAGAGGAAGCATTTTGAATTCAAAACTAGCCTGCGAGCAGGCTCTCCTATTTGGGCGAGCAAAGCAAGCCGCAAGGGCCCCCCGCTTTCGCACTTCCTCTCGCCTGCATCTCGCGCGTTTACTTTTCACGATATCCCCCAAATGGAGAGCTTGCTCGCAGGCTAATTCAAAACAAGGTATTTTCCCATTTTTCACACTTTACTGCAATGCTTTAGTTTAAGCCGCAATTGTACCAAATTGGGAAATACAGATTTTCTGTCCAAGTTTGCGGAAAGAATAGAAGACAGCACCCTCTGATTTTACTAATAAATGGTCGGTCAAAACCTCTATTATTTCACGTATATCGTTGAAACGAGCAAAATCTGTCATTCCTGAAATTAACGCCTTATATCGTTTTAAAAAAGCGCTCTATTAGAATTCCGCTCAATACATGACACATTTCAGTCTACCAAGTTTAGCCCTCTGCAGTGCCTGCTCATTCATCAGTGACTAGAGGCCAATAATATCTTGTTATTTTGGGGTCATAGTGGTTCCGTTATATTGTGCTAGTGCGTTATTTTATACCCGCGGTTGTCGTCTTATTTTGACGCTTAATCATTACAGGACAGCAAAAACACCAACAAATGGGGTAAAACAGTTTTAGAGATCGACACAAGAGAGAAGAGTAGGCTACCAATCGTGGACGTGGCAGCATATGACATCGGTGGAAAAGACCAGGACTTCAAACTTGTAATTGGACCAGCGTGCTTCCATCACGTAAAGGCGTAGGACTTTCAATGCCCTCCAGGGATAGTAGTTGCTGTGACTTGTATATTGTTCGTATTGCTCACAGTGGCATTCAGTTTGAATCGCATATATAGTCACTGATGCTTTAGTTAGTGAAAGTTTCTCAGTAACTGCGTCAAGTCCTCCCTAGAAATATTAGCAAATTTCCCTTCTCCGCGAGATTAAGAATAAAAGTTTGTCCATTTTCAGCTGTTGCTTACCATTTTTTATTTTCTTTTATGGTGCCTTTATGAGCGTTTTCTATATATTTGTATGCGTATCTTTATAAATAAATAACGCTTTTCACAAGTAACGAGTGGGTGACAAGTATGTTACATTAATAACTGATTTTGTTTGGAAACAAACTTTTATTTTGATCTAATATTATATAGGTTAGAGAACCGATATGGATTCCGATTGAATCGAACCTTTTAGACTTATTAAAAAATGATAACTTAAAATTTGTAGCAATACAATAAAGCAAATCAGTGTACTCAACTACCTAACAGTTATTACTTCCTCTTTGTCAAACCCCAGCTTTAACACGCGCGTATCTTCCTCACCTTGACCCCTTGTTCATCTCCTTCTTTATTACTTTTAGCTGAAATAAGCTTTGGCGCTTCTACGCATTCCCCATTTTTTCCCTTCTTTGCTATTTATCTTTTTCGTCACTCTAAACACGGCCTCTTTTTTGATTGCTTCTCTTTTTTCTTAGTTCGTCGCATCTATCCTTTCCAAGCCAACCCACGGTCACCTGTGTTTGCTGTCTTTTTGTTGTTGTTGTTGTTGTTTTGCGAGTACAAAAGTTCTATTACTCTCCCCCCTGATTTCTGTGCTTCGACAGCTTTCGCGCTTGCAATTTTTTTTGTCCACAGTTTCTCTCTCTCCTTTGGTCTCTGGGCCGTCCCCGAGTTGTTCTGGGACGAAAATACCGGGCTTTAAACAAAATAGGTTACCGTTAGGCCTTGCTTTGCAACGGCAATAGAGAAAGGACTGGAGCCTTCCGCTCCTCGTGTCAATCAGAGAACTGATTCTAAATGGCGAGAATCAGATGCCGCTTTTGATTCGCCTATTATCTAGTGTGAACAAGTTGAACGGTTCAGAAGTGTTACTATTTCCTCCGGTTCCACCTGTTCCCAGTCCCTCATCAAAGGCAGGAGCCAATAGCGGGCCTCTGCAGGAGCCTGGCCTATGTCAAAACTGCCTTACCCTACCCCGGGTATTCAAAGCTGGGTTAAGATAACCCAGGGTTGTTAGTGCGAAATTTGCATTCAGATACGAAAGCTTGAAAAGTAAATTCAGTTTAATTATTTTTGTCTACAATTAGTCAATTTCATGTTGAGATACTCTAAAATGAAAAGAATAGAGAAAATTATCCGAGGAAATACTTTGATAAAAAGAAAAAGAAACCCGGGTTAAATTTAACCTTAGGTTAGCGCTAATCGGCCTTCAAACAACTGGGCCTAAAAGGTTTTTCTCGCGCGCAGCGAGGGGCTTTCGTCCGCCTGCCAACGAAGACACGAGCGGCTAATCGGCGAGAAAAAAAAGGGGTGGGTCACTATAAAGACTTGACGCAAACATGCTAACCCCGACTGCCTCAGCCAAAGACTTTTCATGCACTGTCCGCCTCCGGCCTACAGATTTATGGCGTGATTCTGTGGGTGTTGGGAGTTCTAGGTCAGCTTAAATCAGAGTGCGCGGATATTTTTCACCAGAGTTTTCTCTGGTTGTTACGCCATACTGACGAGCCCCAAAGAGGGCGAAACAGCTGTCTATGGCTACAATCCCGCTCTGTTTTGAGTTCTTTCGGTGTCGTGTTGATGTCTTGCAGAGTTAATTTTCACGTAGTACGATTCTGAATTTAATATATCTACAGATTTCTGGTACCCAGGGTACCGCTGCTTGGGTGGAGAATGAGTTTAAGAATAGGGTTATGAGATATCAAGGGTTCGAATCCCGTTAAAGCCCTGATTTTTTTTTTTCAGGCTTCTTCTTTCCAATTGCTTAAATTGGAAAAATTTACTGCGATGATCATTCTTCACTCTCAAATTTCTGTCCATTGGAAAAAGGAACCAACTGTTGTCTCGTCTTTCCTTTTTTTTTCTTTGTGTGGTGCTAAGTATTTTTTTATAGACAGACACGCCCTGGTGGTAAACACCATAACGTAGTTTACTATAGTGGCAATTACCGCAACTATACTGCGGGCTCAAAAACGTTACAAATGGCGGGATTGGTAGAGGAACTGTCAGGATTGTTGAGTTGTTAAACTTACTTTGTGATTTAAAATAATGATATTCTACCATGGCCGCGTCCATTACAGACGAGTGGAATGTCCCGAAAAGTGATGACGAGCAAGATAGCTCTGAAGCCAAGGGGAATAAAGTGGAAGACGAGCTGGATATTCCTTTAAAGGTTTTACTTCTTTACAGAGAAATCGAGAAAAACAGTTTTATTGAACTCAAAGTTAAGGAGTGCAGACGTAGTGTAAAAGAGAATGTTGTACAGCCCTGCGAGGAAGAAAAAGGAGAAGAAGGAAAGGACAAAGTAATCAATTCAACCGCTGAAGAAACAAGCACTGTTCTAGAACCTGATGGGACACTGAATGCGATCTTTGCTGCTAACGTCGAAAAGGACAAGTAAGTCAGTACAATCATTAATGTTATGGAGAAATGATTAAGAGCTAGAGAATTTCACCGTTTTTTATTCATGAAATCCACCTCTTTTTGCTTTTCTAGTAAATCGCATCATTTCTGTTCTAAGTGTCCTCATTTCTGTACATGTACGCTCGCATACAAACTCACGGGATGTCAAGGCGTTTCCGGTTCCGCTTTTTGACAACCCGGCTGCTCTTTCACTACACTATTGGTACTGACTAAAAACCTGTATTCGGGCAATTAACGTGTAGAATTTCAAAATAGATCTGATACATTTGTGCCACGTAGCCACTGTTTTAGGGGTTATAGCTTTGAAGTGGTTGGATATTCTGCAGTTAAGCCCAGTATTGATGTGACATCATGCTTGTGATGATCGTTAAACCACATTGCACGCCAGAATCCCGGTGTAGTCAATCTCCAATTATTTGATTGACTTCGTTTGGGTTCGGAAATCAAACAGTAACTCAACCCAAATTTTGCCAATCAAACAGTGCTGTCAACTCTCACAAATAATCCGGGAGACTCCAGATTTTGGTCTGTATCTCCTGGTCTCCAGATTAGAGTATAAAATCTCCTGGATATTCTCTGAAGTTTGTCATTCAGTTGTAGACTCGACTTTCCGAGAATAAACTTTAAAATATTCTACGTTGTTTGAGCTATTTTACTAGTAACATCGAACATTTCCTCATAAACTTCAGTATGGTATATTATTTCATTGTAATGTAAGAAATAATGTGAAACATTGCAAATTCATGACGATCGGGTCAACGTGTATTTTTTGCACAAATGGTGTCATATACCGTGCAATATGACCTCATCTACCATCCATTTCCTATCAATTCTCAATATTTGAAGACATGGGGGGTTGACAGCCCTGATCAAATGTCATTGAAGGGGGTGTCTATAAAACCTACAAAGATCAAAACCAACCCAAAAGTGAAGACCTGTATGTAAATTGATGTAAAACAACATGCGGATGATGGCTAACTTGTAACACACTTCCCCACATCCTTAAAGGCACGTTATTGATGGGCTCAAAGATCTGCTTTGTCTATGCCAGAAGCCAGTTTTGGTGGACCCCGCCCTTAATTGGACAACAGGAGTTGGTCCCTGCTGTTGTTGACATTTTCCTTGACTCCCTGTACCTGTTGGGCAGATGTCTGTCTAACACAGACACTTGATGACAATTAACCTAGCAGTGTCTGTCCTAAGAACAGTTGTCTGTATGCTTCATTAATTTTGTAACCAATGCTTATTTTGCAGGGCTCCTGAACCATCGGCCTTTGATTACATGGAAGAATCCATCGACGAAACTTCACACATTACAAGAAAAATTCCAAAGACAGGTTTGTTTTCAATTTTTGTTTATTATGCTTAATGGCTACAGGGTTGAATTCTATAAAATAAACCCCAATTACAACTGCTAAAGAAAGACATTAGAATAGAATAATATACAGATAGTTGCAGCGAAATCAAATATTATTTTGTTAAACCCTCAAAACGGCTCATGAGGATAAAATCTGGCAGAAAAAATTCTTCCTTTAGCCAAGGAAAAATGTTTTCATCCCAAAAAGTTCACTTCCAAAATTTCTAACCTTCAAAAGTCCTTGGGTTCTAATTTCAAACCCATCACTGTAATTATTAACCTGTAGTTAGTAACCTGGACCTGTGCCCACCCCGCTTCCTCAGAGTAAAGACAGAAGAACATTTTAAGAGGCCTTTTGAAAACCACTTTTGTCATTAACTCATCCGGTTCAAAGGTTCTCGTTGTTCTTGTTGTTAATAGTTACTAAGTTTTTAGCAAACTGATGTGACTGAAATCTTTTTTTATTATCCATTAGAACGCCTTCATAGAAAAAGAGTAGGAACACTAGAGAATGTCATTTCAGACTTGAAGCGGTTTAGAGACATGGATACAAAAGAGACAGAGAATACAGATAACAAAAGTATTCTAGAGACAAAATCTGATACAACTACTACAAATAAAGACTCAAAAGGACTATGATTATTTAAATTATATAAGGTTTAATTTATACTATTGCTATCATTCCCTTTTCCTGCTGCATGTGTGACGTAAAAGGATGGCCGCAATGTTACAAATAGGACGATTTTCACTGTACAACATATTGTCTGTCTGCCTGGGTAGATCTAAGTTATCTCTAAGATGGACACCATTGGGAATGACATTGATTTTCTTCTATAAACACTGTCAAATATACATTGAAGAGAAAAGGTTACAACAGTTAATAACATGGTCACAAAAGGGCAAATAAGTATTCAAGGAATTAACATGGAATCCATCAGGAAATTGAGTAATTTCAATTTTCAGTGGACAAAAACCTTGTACCAGAATAATATTTACACAATATCACATTATTTTTTACATCTTTCAAGGGCCAGAGATATTATTATTTATCTGTAATAACACCAAAGACTATTTCTCATGGGAGCCCCAGAAAATAAACGTCAAATTTCACAAGAATTGTGAAAACACAGGTAAAATTTCCAAAATTTCATGTGTAAGATGTCATTTTGTGAAATTTGACTTTTATTTTCTCGGGCTGTCATAAGAAATATTCTTTGGTGTTATTACAGATAACTAATTACATTGTACAGTGTTGTAATTACATTGTAGTTGTAAACTCCAAAGAATAATTTTTAAAAGCAAGTGTGCTGTTTCTGAATGAGAAATATTCCTGAAAACTGAGAAAAGTAAAAGATGAGAAGAACATGCTGCTCAGAAAAGTATAAACAACTTAAACCTTAGGTACAACAGTTTGCTTTAACGGCCTTCAAACTTCAAATGTTTGATGGCAAAACATGTCATGTCTGGTGTCCAATTAGAGCATGTTTTTTTGTCTTTTGTCCAGGCTCATATGCAACTGATAGTGTAGGGTTAGAAAGAAGTATAGCTTATATAGTGAGACAAAGAAAGTGGCTGAAAAATGAAAGGGACCAACACAGGGTGTCTACTTGAGGAAGCCTCCGCCATATCCATAACAGTTACAGAGTCCATTGAGATAGAAATCAAAAACTCATCAATAATAAATTTATTCATAAAGAAAAAACAAAAGAAATTTGATGTTGAATGAGCCTCTTAATATCTGATGAAGACACAGCTAAACTTTACGTCCAGTATTTTAGGCCAAAATAATCCGAAGTCTAAATGTTAATGCAAGAAAGAGTTGATCTATATCAGACATTTTAAACTGCTCAAAAAACTTGCAGTTGTGTGTTATCAGGTTTTAAAACTGTCGGCTTTGCCTCAAGTTTTTAAACCTGATAATACACTCCTGCTTGTCTTTTACATGACTGTGTCCGCAGCTGTTTACAGCGGCAATTTTAAGCCAACTATATTTAATTTATTATTTTCTTCAATTTCACCATTGTATAAACTGAATAATTGTGCCAACTAAGGTATGAATATAGGCATTTAGGTTATCATGTGCACTGAGATGAACTCCCATCGTTCTACTTGTTTTTTCCCTGATGTGATACTTGATTTATCAGCGTGTTAAATGTTCATGGATAGAACAGTTCAATAGGAAAGGTAGTCCACCACTGGCAAAAAAGATTCACTGTCTGGCTCGCACTATTCAGGTTGTTCTTTAGGCATCAAAGATCAGAGAATTCTTCGTTTACCACGAAAAATTCTCCAGCTGACGTTCAGTAGCCTGTGAATATTTTTTACTCAGATGAGGAGCCTCTTTCAAAATGTTCTCTTCTAATGTTACACGTTTCTCCTTCTGCTAGAATTCTTAATGACAACCCTGCTCTATTGTTAGATGCCTGATCATATCAAAGGGTCATCATGTTTTCTTTTGTATCATAGCTCTGTGTAAAAATTGCAGACATATTTATGTATTACTTAAAAGCCTTTATGATAACTGTAGACTCACTATTGACAAAAATTCATGATACATGTCACTTCAAATGAAAACCTGTATATAGCTTAATATTATTCTTAATTTATGCCTAAAATTGATTCATAACATTAAAAAATAATTTAAGAAAAATGAGGGAAATATTTTCCACAGAAACAATTTTACTTCTCAGGGCCAAGTGAGTAGGAATGCAAATGGGTGTGGGCTATTTAGTACAGTAGAATCCTGATTTTTCAAACCACCTTGGGAAAAGGAAATTGGTTCAAATTAATGGGAGTTTTGATGTAAAATTACATCATTTGATAAAATCAAATATTTTATGAAGGATATTTGTGAAGGAAAGTGAAGTTTTGGTTGAATTATAGTGATTTTCATGAAACCATGGGTGCTAGAAATCGGGATTCTAATTTATATTAGTTGATAGTGGATTTCTTTTCTTCATGATTGTAACTTTGTTATAAACAGCGTGCCAGCAGACTCACTTGTGCCAGTTCAGTCAACCCCTCATGCGGCTGGCCGAAAATTTTCCCTGAACCCATGAGCCTGCTCGCAGGCTATGTTATAAATTACAATAGGAACATAAACCAAAAATGATGTTTACAGTTTAAAAAAACTGAATAATTCAATAACCTTTCAGTTAATTTAAATATTCCATCAGTCACCTTTGTAAATCATGTCTTTAGGTAGCATCCCACGCAGGCATTTTTAGGGGAGCTCGTTTTTCATCCTTCCCCACAGTTTTGGTTGAGCAGGCGTTTGTGGGGTGGGATGAAAATCGAGCTCCCCTAAAAATGCCTGCATGGGAGGCTAGTCTTAAAGGTATTGAGTTTACAAAATGAACAAGAGTTGGCCTTTTTGTTTTGGGTTTGTGCTTATTGTTGTGTCTACAAAATATAACAAGTAAATAACTTGTAAGTGTATGTAATTTATCTGTTGTACATGTTGCAATTGCAGGCACGGATCAACACCAGTTTCTACCGTTTTACAGAAGTTGTCAGATTGTTCATAACAAATGTATTTTTAATAATAAAAATACTTTCCAAGTTGAAATCTGGCCAATAACCCGTTTGAATGACTTGGAAACCTGTGGAAAGGGACTTTAAGGGGTTTAAATCCAAAAACATTCCTGGGGGAGCCTGCCCCCAAAGCCCGCGCACTAGAATCTTGTGCCTTCAGTGCTCATTAAGGAAATCGGTCAGTATTTATTCTTGATCCGTGCCTGCGTTGTGTCTTTGTTGTTTGTTGTCCAAGAAGAAAACTTTCAAAACTGATGTACGTGGTGTGCTAGGCAAATAAAAATAAGTAAATAAGTTTTAGCATTGTATTTCAATCCACTATAGGGGGGATGCAAATTTATGCAATATATATATTTGCAACCATTTTACAGTTATTCATTTCCACCTAACCTCTCCATTTCACGTTTTTTTTTTCCGGGTTATTTAAGTTTGAAAAAAAAACAACTGTTGCCAAAGTGATGTCTTGCGTTGTTTTCAACAGGTACTGGTCAGTGTCTAAAAAGACTAGGTGGTGTGTCTGGGGGAGGTACTTAGGTAATGTTTGGGTAGGGATGTGCCAACAGGAGCCCACAACCTTTGGCCAATGAATTTTGTTAGTACACTAAACTAGATTACTAACAAATTATTCCACGCAAGTAGGGGCGAGAAAAAAATTTCCTCTTCTCCCTCCACGTGTCACCTTCCTGACAGGCAGTTTTCATGTGCACCTGCTTATTTCGCTCATTCTACTGACCCTGAGGAAGATGAGGAACTATTTGTTATCTAAAAGATACAATAAGACCCTGCTTGATTTTTATGGGCTAGAAAGCAGAAACCCCAGGTCAGGGCCCCACAGTTTACTCTAGGATAGGGTATATAAATCAGAGCGTTTAGGTCTAGAATAGGGTATCATTTTTCAGGAAACTGATCAGTTGGTTGAAGACTTCATGTAGACTAGGGATTGTGGTATAAGGTTTTGTTTTGGCTAGACTGTGCTAGTGACCTCAGTAGTTTCTGGAAAACAGGTACTCTAGGATAGGGGGGATTTGGGGAGTTTACTCTAGTAAAGGGTAGCAAAATTCAGCTGAACTAGCTCTGGTATAGGTTAAGGGTTCCAGGGTCCCAGCAGCACATCCTCACCCTAAAATTCCTAAAGTTCCCCCTCCCCCCGGGGTCGGGGCTTGGTCAATTTGCCCTAAGTGAGAGGTTAAGTGTTATTGTTGGCTTAGGGGAGGGGTAGGTGGGCAGTTTCCCAGAAACGGATAATGAGCCACCTCTGCTAATGCCTGCATTGGTTTTCTGTTCTGAACACCCCAAGTGAAAACAAAATTTGACATTCACAGCCCTCAGCAAGATGTTCCTTTTATGAGGGTTCTTTTGGCTTATCACTCATCCCTTTATTATACACTTAATGTCAGATCCCGAGGGAAACAGTTAGTTTTGTTTTCCCAAGAGTCCTGATGTTTCCCGAGACGAAGTCGAGAGAAACATCAGGACTCGAGGGAAAACAAAACTAACTGGTTTCCCGAGGGACCTGACATTAAGTGTTTTGTTATACTTCTAGACTTTCACTTCAACAGCAACAAAAGAATAACCGGAGCGAACCAAAACAGTCGACTCGGTACTTATAACAACACAAATTTAATTCTCAAAACCACTGAATGAATGATTTACAAACAAAAGTACTTTCCTCATATTATCTGCATCTTTTTCCTCCACTAGCTGCTGTTTTTCTTCTGGGAACTTCTGGGATAACTTTAAAAATCGTTGCTTTTTAGCTTGAGGCTTCGTTTTTGTGTTGTTGTGTTCATTCACGAAAAAGAAAACTGGCTGGACCTGGCGGTGTTTTTCCCGCCTTCTGTCACACCACTTTCCACCATGCTTTGATCACGTGCTGCAATGTATCCAGAGCGGTATACATTGTTTTTAAATGTATCACGATCGGGATACATTTGATTTTAGTCAAGGCCACGTGACCAAGAATCAACCAATGGCAGTCCCTGTTTAGTTGAGTGAAAGTCTAGGAATATAACAAGACCCTTTATTGTTGTTAACACAAGTTAGGAATTACCGGTAGGCTACCAGCAGTCCCTCTTTCATCTTACTCCGTCGAACGAAACTCGCGA